AACACCAGTTGTGGTAGCTTAAGAACTTCTAGATCACCTTCAACAAGACATTTAAAAGCACAGCCGTGGCTCTTATATGTAGTAAGGATACAGGAAATGTTCATTTGAAATTGGACTTACTTTGTAGTCTGGCTCCACCATAATTCGACACAAATGTTGTAAGAACAACAGCTTTCAAGTGATGGTGGGTCTACGGTGAATTAGGATCCAACGAAAGAACTTGGACACTAGGTAATAACTAGTGAGGAACACATATCTATTGTTGTTATCATTGTTATTATGACGGCCCATTTTAACAAGGAATATCTTTACTGCAGCGACTGTTTTTAGGGACTACGGTTCTCTTATACGGATGACTGATTTGTGTTCTCAAACGGCTCTGAAAACAACTGCCAGCCTTCCCCTGTTGCAATTATCTTGGCAATGATGTACTGATCTTTGGTAACAGACCTCGTAATTCTGTCCACTCTCAAGACAATACAAAACGCTATGAATCAAATCAGAATCCTGCATCGTCAATAGACAGACATCTGACAGGTACTGGCCGTAGAATTGACGCAGTCAACTCCTTCCGAATCCTGATATGCAACCCAAACTCCAAGATTTCAGTGAAGAGCTCCTGATTAAATCAATCCAAATATGTTCACAGGAACAGAGAAGGCAAGCGTCTTGGTTACCACGATAGTGACCAGGTGACTTGCAGAAATCAATCAAGTTGCAATCAACATTATGTAACTGCATGTTTTCCATCTGTGGCTGACGAGAATTAAATGAATTTTAACATATAGTAGCATGCCTTCTTTCATCTCTAATGAGAAACTTTTGAAAACCTTTTAGAATCTTTGCAAAGTCCCCCTTATATATCAGCCCAAACTGACATCTATCAGTGTGTTATTCACCACATGACTGGTATATCACTGAGTCTGTCCATCCACAAAGAAACTGTGTTTCGGAGGGTCAAAATGAAGCTAAACTTTGTCAGCTGAAGAGTTGCGTTTTAAAATGTAGCAGCCCAGAAGTCAGAAACCAAAAAGGCAACAATCGTCGACATACTTCAACAGCTTAGCTGCCAAAGAGGAAATGTGACGGACATTGCTGTTCTCTGACTGCTGTTACCTGATCTTCATTTGAGATTTTGGTGACATGGGGGAATGGATGAATAATTAGCAAGCCAAACAAAGATGAAAAAGTGCTGTGTGATTTTTTAACGGATCAACAATTTCAATAGGTTCTAATGGATATTTTGTAATCCAGAAATTTCGGACGAAATAAACTTTCGTCCCAGTCTGAAGGGTCATGCTGCGTTGGCGGTATCCTGCGCTATTTGTAACAAGCTAAAATTGATTCTTATGTTTAAATCAAACATAGTCTAAGATCATTTTATTGCCCGCACAGCAAGTGAAAAGCGCTTTCCACCAAAACATAAATAGTATAGAGCCTAATAGTTGCTAAGACATTATAAGAATTCACTGGTTTCTTGTCAATAAAGTCAGATTCTTGAATACTATCCCAGAATACCCTAAACTTACTGAGACCCTCAAACTCAACCAAACACCGATCAGATAGCGTTGGGTCCAGGTCAGAGAGTGCCCTTCAAATTATAGCGCGAGACAGCCTTGGGTCATGTCAGACGGTACCCTTAAAAATACAGCGCCAGGCCATTTTACTTGCACTCACCGCCTGTTAGCAATAAAGCTGTTGTGTTCCTTGTCGGCAGGTCTTTTTCTGGCACTAGGCGCTGGAGCGGGGACAGCGGTCAGAAAGAAGATTTCTAGAAATTCACAAGGTTTGTAAGATACATCTGGACTTTAAATCAAAACTCTTGTTAAACGCTATAAACCCGAAGCAGATGAACAGACGTTCTGCTGCGCGATCTTGATACATATGATAAATTTTGTCAACTCTTCATCGCAAAAGACAAAGATATGACCATTGCTGAATTTGTTGTAGGGCTTGCAGGCACGAAAAATGTTGACAAATCGATTAAACCAACAGCAATTTTTGGAAGCCGAGTCAGAATTTTCAATCGCAACGCCACAGATTTGTCCTCAATCCAGTCAGTGTCGTATCAAATACGTTACAGTTTTTTGCTTCATTTTTATCACATATCAAGGACACATTCTCAACCAGAGGATATTTTTAGGTACAGCCAATCCACTACGATGTAATTCGAGATATTTTGGCTTCCAGCTAACGCGATAAATGAGGTCAAACAGAATGAAATAAATGAAGCCAGGAGCTTTTTTACAGTGCTTGTGAAACGGTATTCTGAAAATAGATCCAATAAGTATTTAACGTGTGAGATTTGTTTTGTAGTATTAAAGTGGTTACTTCTTTGAACCGATTCGGTCAACCAGCTGTTGGTGGTCAGTAAAAGTATCCTGTCAATCCAGATAAGCTGGGCCTTTTTGATTTGAACCCCCCTCTTAAATAGTCGCATAAAACATTCATGTCAGATGTTTTTTTAAAAAACGGAGGAACGCGCGACAGCTATTCAATCGCAGTGAGCAGAAAAAGAACTAAAATTAGTTGGCACAACAGCGTGCGAATGTCCCCTTTCGAGAGTAAATATATGAGATGTGGGAGAATCCTGGGATCCTTGACACAACCCCCCAGTTTCAGCTTCCTCAAGCTGACTGTCAACCCAACAACTAACCACTTTCTAGATCCTATTCTTGAATCCTAAATATCACAATTTTCTGAGCTTAGTTTACGTTAAATTCCGATTCGTCCTCGTCCTATACAGAACCAATGATTTCGCTAAAATGTTTTCAATACGGCGGGGATATGGTCAGATAGTCAGAATCGTGATTGAATGAGAACTTGATTCTTCATTGAGCGAAGCTTGGTCAGACTAGTTAGCCTTTTTGTGTGTCGTGGTTCACGCCCAGGTCACACGTTCCATTTGTGTAAACCTGCAAGAACGTTTGTCGCCCTGTGAGAAACAGATTACCTGGAATGTTGAACTAATCATAACGTACATGTTGATTAAATGCACTGGAATGTTTGTCAAATCCAATAGACTATTGCACTGCATTAGTTTAGTGCTAACGGTAAGTTGACGATACATTTTTTCATCATCAACCCTCTGACTATGGAGTTTTCCAGAGCGTTTGTGTTTGGACCTACAGGTATTTGGGCACAGTGCAAATATCTACTCATGCCTAGCAGACCGCAGTAGTTGACTAACAATGAACATTCAATTTTATACGTAGACCAGAGGAGGATGATTGTTTCAGCAGTGATCGACAAATGATCAAGCGAACTATGCTAGCGTGGATGCTGCAAGAATGAGTGGTTGGTGTTGCACTACTGACTGATATACAAGAGTGGCTGTTTGAAATCTTAATGAATGCGCAATGCTAGGAGAGAACTAGTATATACACAAGAATTTATTGGACAGCTTGCTTCTATTGGTTTCATTGAATGGAGGCCGTGAACTGAGGATGACCAGGTACTCGGTTGCCTAATTCTGTGGCAACCAATTAACCAGGAGTGCTAATGTAGTAAAATGAGCAACGAGTGCCATGTCCCGTTTGATTCCAGAAAGCCGTAGTCATCAGTTCCAAGATCAAAACGATTTTACCATTTTAGCCCTCCTCATCTTTGTGAAATTCATATGCGGAAGCAATCGAAGTACTTACGGTCTATGCCCAGTCCTCAAGTGTGAACTGTGCATTTTTCACATTGAATTTAACTGTTGTCTGGTAATTAGGGCCTTGTTTTGAAGAGTGCACTTCAAACCCCCGCTTTTCTCGTAACCGTACTTCGAATTTATCGGTTTAATATCGTTCGCCAACACGTACAAGAGGGAGATCCGTCTAAGTGCACCGAGCGCTTATTAGGGCACAAATAATTCCCTTTCAAAGATAACGAGGATCTACTGAACATCACTCAGATGAGTCAAATGAACTTTTATGTTGACGGTACCGTCAGCTGTTTGCAGTGTGTATCAGCTGAACACCAGGTGCGAGTGCAGAAATTGGAGGACCGGTAGCTCTGGCTGGATTGCGTAATCTATATTTGTGTAGGTTTAAAATCTTTCCTTGTGGAGTGTTCTTCCTAGGGAATATCGGTGGTGGAAAATGGATATGAATGAAACTTATTTCATTTGAGTTCTCTTTTCTGGATAGTTTCTTTTTGCAGAGGGAACAGGTCCTCAGTTTCCCGGGTTACCAACTGTCCGCTGAGATGAGCAGGTTGTGTCCATCTTGAGTTGCTTAATAGTTGCTTGCAAAACGTTTTCAGAAGTACATTTGAATATTTTCTTCCGTCTGATGGGTCCATTTTATAATGGAGCCACTTTGTCACAAAAGGTAGCTTACACCTAGCTGATACGTGTGAAATATTATAGTTTACTAGTTCACTCTTATCACGTATTCGGGAAGGAGAAAACGAAAGATGAAATTGCGAAATGCAAGGATCCTTCCGGTATCTGATGTATCCAGTACACTAAGCATTTGTCCAATGATAAGAATGCTGAACAGCAAATCGAAGTGTTTCAGGCGCCCAAAGTCAACACAGTGGTGAACAAATTTGATGTTCAGTTAGAAAACGGGTCTCATGGAAACTCGGGAACTGCGTCTATCTCAAGGGTCTCTAGAAACTGATCGTGCACTGTCAGAGTTTACAGCAAATTAAGAGTGGCGTGCTCCATCTCGCAAAAGCTCAGCATTTCTTTCGTCTAAGTGTTGGACGGTTGCCAACTCATCGAGCACCTCTAAGCGCCGCGGTTGCGGTTGAAGCATCGATGGCGGTGACAGGAATGTGGAAAGACAGCGTTACCCCCGTACTAGTATATGACAAAAAAACTTTGCCAGCAGCTTTTCCAAAAACGTATAACCTGCCCGGTGTATTAAGCATGGGAACAAAGTCACAAAACCCCAACTGTGTTAATAAAAAGACTGAAGGGATTCACTTTCGATAGAAGATTGCAATGTAAATTAAATCGGCAAGCAAGCAATGCTTAACATGATAAGGATAATAACTAGTAAACTTACCAGAAGAAACAGTGGACTGATAAACGTCCAGCATATCTGCCAAAATTTTCCTGGCGTGAAACCGAGCATTTGTTTGACATCACCACAAAATCGTTTGGTCCCTAAACGGGAAAATTTCGGTTCAAAGGGGTCTTAGGAATGAACCCACTAGGACTCGAAAAATGCCATAGAAATGACTCACCGTAAAACCAGCAAAGAGCAACGCATTCACAGAAGACAATGAACAGAATTGAAATTTGGGCTCCATGTTGGTCCAGTAGTGCCAAGATCAGGAATCCACCCTATAACAAACAAACCAGAGTTTGAGGTGTGGTGATTTGCTGATTGCTGGTTTACTTCTACTTATAACTATTATAAAAACCATTAAAATCGTTGAAGTTTCAATTGCTGATACTCAATGAGTGATCGCACTAGGCTCACCAGAAATTGGACGCAGCTAGCTCACTATCAACGAAGTAATTAGCAGGACCAACTAGAGTGATTTTGCTCTGAGGTACTTCAAATCTAGTACTTTTCATGCAATTAAGAAAGACTCCTACATTTAGACGGTTTACTTATATCCTAGATAAAAAAACGCTGTCTGCAGTGATATGGAAAGCTTGAATTCATTCCCGTTCTACTTTAATCTGCGCTTGTTAAGTAAGAGGACATCAGCATGAGCATTCCCAGTCGTGTTACTCTCTTGATCCTCATTCACAATCTCACAGCTAATATTCTTCTCTACTCAAACACATGACTTGGCATGACTTAGTCCAGTTGGCTCCGATTCCGTGACCGTGATTAGTAATGTCCCCCTGCAGAGCGCGCAACCTATGGACAATAGTAAGTGGAAAATGACAGTTTATCTTTCACTGACAATTCAAGTAGTGGTTTACACTGTCGTTTAAGGGTTTTCACATAACATTTTTTCAGTGGATAATTCATCCATTCATTTATCAAGTTCTTTGTGGAATTTTCGCAGCGCGAATATTCCAACTTCGGTTACAATATTTGAGTACTACTCATAAGATCTACGGAAACGCTGGACAGCCCACTACTGGTGTTGCCCCTCATGGTAGTGGGCTGTTCAAAATTTCCATTGGCCCTCGCCATTTTGCATATTATTCCAAATAAAAACTAGGTGATCTTTGTGACCTATCTTCGGTTAGAGCACATCGTAAACGCGGGATTCAAATGAATTTCAGCTGAATCCTCCACCAAATAGGAACAGCACCATTATAGTCATCATTTTTACCATTGCCATTATTAGTGTGCTTGTAATTAAATGGTGGAAATTGGAAAATAACAGAACTCAAATACTTACACATGTAGTTGTTGCCAGCGCGCCCAGGAAGCAGTAAATAATAATGAAAAGAACAAATATTTCACGCCGTCTTCTTATCTTTGGAATACGATCCAAAACCCCGGTGATTATAGCTTCCAGTCCAGCAAACTGTCGAAAAACAATAGAGAATCCAATGGAGATAAATGTGAACGACCGCCGCAACGATTACCCCAATTGGCTTGCTTCCGGGTATAAGTTATCAAGTTATCTGGAGAATTACTCCAGAGAGGGAGGGAGACAGAGGGAGAGGGAAAGAGGGTGACGCACCCAGGAACTAAGCGATGTGACCACTTTCCATCCAGAATATAGGTAACCTCGTTTTAATCAAGCATTTCAGGCCATGTCATCAAGTGTTGCATAGCATTCAACTGACACCCTTTGGGATGTAAGACCTATGCAGAAAATATGATGCTTACTATTCTGAGCCCATAAAGGTCAGTTGTATGTAATAAGACATTTTCGAATCTCGAACTTTATGGCGTTGAAATACTCAGCTTTGGGCAAATATAGAAATGTATGAGACCCGTTCTGTTGATGATGCCTTCTTGAATGTTGATGAAACCTTCGTTAGTTAGTCATCAAGCTCAGCAGACAGATCAACAGCCCCCTGATCAACCGTCAACCCAAAACTGATTGTACTTCCGGAAGGTGTCTGCTCTTGTGAGGAGAGTCACCTGTTTGAGTGATATATGGTATTCTATAATCCGTAAACATGTGATGAGAATATTGGTTACTTCCGGACATAATATGTTTTCCTGCATATATCCCTCTCGGTAAACACTGTTCAAGTTTTATGAAGCTAATTCTTGAAGAACCAGTCAAGCAAGTTAGAAAACGCTTGGAACCGGTGGAGAAGTTATTGTACAATTCATTCCCCACTTCGCTGGCTGTCTAAAGTCCACAAGAAAGATGCCCCAACAAGACCAGTGGTAAGAAATATTGGCTCTCCACCATGGCGGTTAGGTAGATTATCAGCTGGTATACTAAAACCACCTACAGAGCAATCGACCAACAAAATAAGAAATTCGTACGATTTTGTCAATAGAATCGTAGAGTTTCCATTGAAGTCAGACGGAGTTACCGTCCGCCCCGACATCATCCCGATGTATATAAGCCCCGGGACTGATGATCCGCAGGTGACCAATAAGCTGACGGAGTACTTCAAAATAGGACACAATGCTCAGTAAATAAAATAGTTGGGGGCATGAAAATATGTTCGTATATGCCTGTTTTTGACTCAGTCGTTGACTTGCAACAGCGACGTGAGATATTTAATATCCACGGTTTGGCTAATATATATATATATTGTATATTTGTATGAGGGAGATTTGGGGGGGAGTTTCTACGCATTTTTTGTTGCGATCAAGCGTAATGATATCCATTCTGTGAGCATATGAATAACATGTATCCTCACATCGAATTCAGCATGCAGCTAGAGGACCCACTCAGGACACATTGCCTATCCTGCACCGTATTTCACGAAAGCATAGTGAGAGACCAGAAAGTAACACATAATTGCTATCCTAAATTACTCTCTAGTCTACATGAAGGCGCTGTACGCTAGTGATGTCCATCAACGTTTGGCTGGATCAGGGTGCTGCTCCCTGAAATAGTCAACCGGACAGTCCAAATGAAGGCAAACGTATATTTTAGGAAAAAGAATGTCCAGTGAATTAGATTAAGCGGCAATTCAGAGGTGCATTAGCCTCGGTATCGATACCTGTTAAGGAATGGATTGGACCAGCATTCATTTCATATAAAGCAAGAACATAAGGATGATGGAAACTCGGGGACTACGCCTACCTGATAAGCCCCAAAAAGGGCGAAAACTGTCGTCGGCTGTCGAAGAGTTTTCAGCGACCTTGTGAGTAGTTTTCCACAAGAACAACGTAGTTTATTCGAAGGATGCTGAACATAACCGGCATTAGAGCAGCATATCCGAAAGCAAGCATATTACACTAAATAGTGGTTTATCTAGATGATGACCTCATGGTTGAAAGTACTGGAGACTGTGTATAAAATTACGTGCAACGAATTCACTAAGGTCCACATAGGACTGACGGCCTGGGGCCTAAATATCAGAATTGGGGGAGAAGAATAACCGAATCATCAAGAAAGTGCGGACGATTATCAGCTATGCGGTAAACACAAGACATATGGTAGATGTGGAATATGTGAAAGTTTTAAGATAGGGATAATAAAAAATGGTAGGCAGCATTCAGAAGAAAGGACTAGACCCGTTCCAAATCCTTGAAAATTTCTCTGTAATCCATTGGTCTTAACACTTACTAATCCCACAGTTACAAGTGTCACTAGCCAACTAGTGCGCGCAATAATGACTGTACAATGTCGGTAGCTCAGGTAGCGTAGATGGTGGTTGGCTTGTTCGCTGAGCCGGGCACAACTACACACTGATGTTGTCACCTCGATTGGTGATGAAACGTTTGCAAACAAATTGCCCAGCTCAGCGAACAAGCCAACGACCATGACTGTACAACTTGTTTCGTTTGTATCAAGAATCAGGAATGATTTGTACATTTGTGATCAACTCGGAGTGTGGAATATGTGATGGTTTTGTTGATAAAAAGCTCTGGTGTATTCGTTGACTCGGTCAGTCTCAAATGCCACCTGAGTGCCTATTTTTTTGTCTTATTCATACATGTTCTATAGAATGAACTGAGTGAACAGTAGTCCCAAGTCTCAAATAGGTTGCGGCAATAGCCCTAACTTTTAAACCTCACAATTTCAGCTTGCACTCCGTGTTGTATTGAAGCGACTGAGGGATGGTGTCAGCCGAGTGTTTTCATGGGCTGGCCAGCCGCCCAGATAAGCTAAAAGATAAAGCCGCGCTCTGATGGTACAATTAATAACTGGCGGATAGACAAATGTTCGGCCATACTAGTTTTTGTCGCAGTATCAAGTTGTATGAGAACTGTCCAATAAGTCGAGCACTCGGAACTTTTCAGTATTATAGCTTACAGTTTAAAAGTCGGGCGAATATCTCATAGTAGTTTTGAAGTAAATTTGCAATTAGGCTAGTGATGCTTAATGCTATCTGAATTTCTTTGTGGCAGTTGACTGGAAAGCAGCTATTCGGGATTGAGAGGGAGATTGACAACCATTCTACCGGATCAATTGTCCTGATGTGTGTTCCTTTTCATGAGGTTATCCTTGATGGCAAATATTGTCAATATGTCTATGCGCCGGATCATTCGTTTCTTATCGTTGCGAAAAACGCCACTATCATGTTGGATGAATTTGATGGTCAAGATTCGGTTCTCCTATTTCTAGTTTACTGTCTTCTATTGACTGAATCTCAAATGGAGAGTGAAGTAAGATGATATAATGAGGAAGGTGCAGTTTGCAGGTTTGGAATGATCGACTGTAACATACGCTAGTTGTCATTCCCCAAACACTGGGCTGCATGCGAAGATGATAAACTACTCTTGTGGATTTCAAACCGATATCTGATCGTGTTATGTGTTTCAAAGCTTTTACTCTGTGATAAGTGCTACCTCTGCACTGTCGTCGGCTGTCGAAGAGTTTTCAGCGACCTTGTGAGTAGTTTTCCACAAGAACAACGTAGTTTATTCGAAGGATGCTGAACATAACCGGCATTAGAGCAGCATATCCGAAAGCAAGCATATTACACTAAATAGTGGTTTATCTAGATGATGACCTCATGGTTGAAAGTACTGGAGACTGTGTATAAAATTACGTGCAACGAATTCACTAAGGTCCACATAGGACTGACGGCCTGGGGCCTAAATATCAGAATTGGGGGAGAAGAATAACCGAATCATCAAGAAAGTGCGGACGATTATCAGCTATGCGGTAAACACAAGACATATGGTAGATGTGGAATATGTGAAAGTTTTAAGATAGGGATAATAAAAAATGGTAGGCAGCATTCAGAAGAAAGGACTAGACCCGTTCCAAATCCTTGAAAATTTCTCTGTAATCCATTGGTCTTAACACTTACTAATCCCACAGTTACAAGTGTCACTAGCCAACTAGTGCGCGCAATAATGACTGTACAATGTCGGTAGCTCAGGTAGCGTAGATGGTGGTTGGCTTGTTCGCTGAGCCGGGCACAACTACACACTGATGTTGTCACCTCGATTGGTGATGAAACGTTTGCAAACAAATTGCCCAGCTCAGCGAACAAGCCAACGACCATGACTGTACAACTTGTTTCGTTTGTATCAAGAATCAGGAATGATTTGTACATTTGTGATCAACTCGGAGTGTGGAATATGTGATGGTTTTGTTGATAAAAAGCTCTGGTGTATTCGTTGACTCGGTCAGTCTCAAATGCCACCTGAGTGCCTATTTTTTTGTCTTATTCATACATGTTCTATAGAATGAACTGAGTGAACAGTAGTCCCAAGTCTCAAATAGGTTGCGGCAATAGCCCTAACTTTTAAACCTCACAATTTCAGCTTGCACTCCGTGTTGTATTGAAGCGACTGAGGGATGGTGTCAGCCGAGTGTTTTCATGGGCTGGCCAGCCGCCCAGATAAGCTAAAAGATAAAGCCGCGCTCTGATGGTACAATTAATAACTGGCGGATAGACAAATGTTCGGCCATACTAGTTTTTGTCGCAGTATCAAGTTGTATGAGAACTGTCCAATAAGTCGAGCACTCGGAACTTTTCAGTATTATAGCTTACAGTTTAAAAGTCGGGCGAATATCTCATAGTAGTTTTGAAGTAAATTTGCAATTAGGCTAGTGATGCTTAATGCTATCTGAATTTCTTTGTGGCAGTTGACTGGAAAGCAGCTATTCGGGATTGAGAGGGAGATTGACAACCATTCTACCGGATCAATTGTCCTGATGTGTGTTCCTTTTCATGAGGCTATCCTTGATGGCAAATATTGTCAATATGTCTATGCACCGGATCATTCGTTTCTTATCGTTGCGAAAAACGCCACTATCATGTTGGATGAATTTGATGGTCAAGATTCGGTTCTCCTATTTCTAGTTTACTGTCTTCTATTGACTGAATCTCAAATGGAGAGTGAAGTAAGATGATATAATGAGGAAGGTGCAGTTTGCAGGTTTGGAATGATCGACTGTAACATACGCTAGTTGTCATTCCCCAAACACTGGGCTGCATGCGAAGATGATAAACTACTCTTGTGGATTTCAAACCGATATCTGATCGTGTTATGTGTTTCAAAGCTTTTACTCTGTGATAAGTGCTACCTCTGCATGTAAAAAACGTAGTCTCAATTAACAGTCCTTTTTAGGGCGCCAAAGCCAATCCATTCCACCTTGGTCACCTTGCGCTTTCTGATTGTGCCACCGAAATGCATTGCCCAGTTTAGTTTATTTTGCGGGGAGACAAGAAGCAACCACAGTGAAAATAGTGTGTGAAGTAAGTTACCAGCAAAAGAAGCTATCTCTCGTCTTTACTGTATGGGAAGCATTTGAGTGTTTGAGGACATTCATGCAAGGTATCAGGTTGTTGAGTGAGAATACCGCGGCTTTCACTACTGGGTTGCCATGACCATCTGTTCTTTGATTCTGGGGGCAATGGTTTAAGGTGAACTCATTTGCGCTCCGCCGCTTCATTGGACCGACGTGTTTGGAATCACTCCTTTAGGGTGATGATAGAAGACTTGAGAGGAGGAACCCACAGGGTGGGGGGCAACCATGCAAAGTTCTTCCTATCTGCTATGTGAACGCGTCTTGTTCATTGCTATGTTTGGTTATGACTTTGAAAGTATGCAAATTTATGGTGTAGCATTAGACAAGTTGTGGGAAGGCTAACGGGATACTCTCGGGTAAATATTTTTCATCAACACACCGGTGAGACTATCAAGAAGAAGTGAAGAATACTCCAACGAATTATAGACCTTGAATTCTTGTTGGAGGTTAAACGGCTGGATAGCCTAGCCATTCAGGAACCCAAGTTTAAGGAATATATGTCCATTGTGGACTGTTGTGAATGGAACAGTGAATGTGAGGTTGGTGCGAGAAAGCCTCAAAAACGGACACCCAAATAAAACAGTGTTTGTCATTTCATTTGAATTTCATTTGGAATCCCAATCGTCAGGAACAGTTAATTAATTGGATGCAAGCCAGATTTAGATCGGTGTTAACCTTTATATCAATATGGGTCAATCTTAGACCATTTTTACTTCCCTCTCCCATTAATTCGTCCATAACACCAGAATGCAACATATTCCAGTGGAATGAAGTGTTTTGCTTGTGGTGACCATTTAGAAGGCTTCGTCCTCTCATTCCGTAAGGTCTGTCTTCAGCCTATCCTTTGTAAACACAGTACTGTCCCACTGTTCGTTCTGTCTCTGTAAGGGGGTTCGGCTTTCTTTGAAATATCGCCAGTTGTTAGGCTTAGGATGAAGTCATCTTCCCAGTTTTGTCTAAGCACTTATTTCGCATTGCTGAGGATCATTCCTACCATTGATACTTCTGTTATTCCTTCAAAAATAACGCTACGCGGAAAGTGCCTCAAAAACACCTGAGTGATCTCATTTTTCCAGGTTACGCACGGTGTGAGCTTCAAAACCTAACTTAGAATTGCTACATCAGATTTTAAAACAAAACCAGTGGCTTTCCCTGCGTGTTCTAGCTGACACTGACTTTGTACCATTGGACTTTAATTCACTTATTTCGATTGAAGTGTAGAACTGATGCGATAATCTGCGGTGAAGAGGGTGTTTGATCCACTACTGCTCTACAGAAGTCCCATAGGAATGACTACACTAAAGAGAGGTTGCCTCCTGGCGAGTTCAGAAAAACGTTCCGTTTTGGCCGCAACTACCAAAGAGGGAGCAATAGTTAGTAGCAATAGGCTTTCCTCAAAGAAGGAACTTTTTTGATGAGTATGGAACCGTTAACCAAGTTCAGTGGGACCAGTTTTGTGGTCTGTTGAGAATCATGGACCGACTGTAGATTTTGAGGCTACTATATGACCCAGTGATGACCAAATTTCTATTCACTCTTCCAACGTGCTAATCCAGAAGCAATACGAAATCCCACCTAAATTTGCGTCCCGACGGTTTCATTAGGTAAACATATATACAAGTTTATTCGTGCATAGTAAAAGCGTCCCGAGGCATCTCCAATACTTCTCTACTTAAACGAGGCCTATTAAAACCCAGTGAGCTATACTGTGGCCTCCGTACTTCACCACTCACAAGGTTACTGCAAATTCTTCGACTGCCCACGACAGGTTTCACGCCTCTTTGGCCTTATCAGGTAGGCACAGTCCCCGAGTTTCTCAACCTTATGTTCTGCTTGAAACCAAACTACACGAAATTAGCGAAACACACACATTTGCAAACAAATTTGGTTTTGTGAGGACTCACCTGGAACCCGGCTATATCTCTTGTTTGTGAGATTTTCAGGCTTGCCGTCATTTTCTACTAATTGAATCATCCGTAACCAGCCACTTAATATTCTGCTTGTATTCGCGCTTGCTTAGGGTGCTGCATTAGGCTCGGTCACGAGGTTCAGTTCAGCGATTATTGCGAAATTCGCCCGGGAAATGATGACTAAAAATCCGCTAAAAATTGAGGCATTCCCTGAGGCAAAAACGTAAAACCCGACGAGACGTTGTGTACAGTCAATAGAAACACGAACGAAAAAAGAATGACGGACGCTTCCATTGTGATACGGTAAACGAAAATAGCTAGGTACGGAAGTCCTCAAACACATGCGTCCTGTGACTTCTACTCACTGTCTTCTGGCCGTTATTCATCATGGAGTCACCCTACTGTTGGTATCAGTGAACCATCTCCCATGTCGGGAAAATTTCTCTCACGCAGCAACCAGAGTACACAGGACAATTGATTTGGAACATACATGTTACCAATGAACCATGTTTATTCACTTCGTAAGTTTCATTTGAGTTTTCTACTGCGGTTGAAGGCAATCTGCGTTGAAGAGAAGAGCTGTCGCGCAGCAAAGAAGCAGTTAGTTATCTGCTTAGCACATTTTCTGAACTTATCGTTTCGTCACTCACCGTACTGTCCAGTCCAAGAGTGATAAGCATAAGCATAAAGATTATTGCCCAGAAAGTGGAACCTTTCAACGTCGCGATGGCTTCCGGATAGGCTATGAAAACCAAACCGGGACCTAAAAAAAACAATCAGGTGGTTTAAGCTGGTGTTTAGTAAGTCTTCAAAAGTGACCAACAGGTAAAATTAATTTTTTTCTCAGTAGCAGAGCATTGCTTGAAGCTTGAAGTCGTATAAATGCAAATGCCTTTCAATTGCTTGCTGAATGTTTTGAATGTTAACTGTAGAGAAACTACATGACTCAGTTCAGGACATTTAACTAAACAGTTGAAGAATTCGTGGCTGACAGATTTCATAAGTATACATACAGGTTTCATTCGAACCAGCGATGTCTCTCCTGAGGAGCATGGAGAAAAGTCAGTGTAGACGATGATACAACGAAAAGGTAAAAAAGCGTACTTATAAAACCCCAGTGCTAGAAAAGACTAGCATTCCCAAGGGTGATCAAAATCCACTCTGCTCTCTAATGCACATGTGGGAACTGACCTTCGTTAGCCACTTCTTGCATGGTCTTTTTCATCCGGAAGCACATATGCCCAAGTACTGAGAAAACGACGAAACCGGAGACAAAGCTGGTTGCGCAGTTAATGAAGCTGGTCAGCATGGCGTCGCTGAAAAACCGTATCGAATCACGTATTAGTACGTTATACAATGGTTGAGCTCCATTATACGATAAGAATCCCCAAAACTGAGAACTGTTAATTTGAGAACTAGTTTCAAGTGTATGGTTTCAAGAGCATATGGTTGGAGTGCCAGAGCTTTTTGGCTAAACAAATACAAATTAGGATATAGCCTAGTTACTGTAAATTAAATAATAATACTTTTTGCCTCTCAGCTGATGTCTACTCGACCAATTTAAACCATCATTAAATAATATACTTTTTGCCTCTCAGCTGATGTCTACTCGACCAATTTAAACCATCAGGATACCTGATGTAGCTTGAACAGGGTAGTAAGAACAACAATGTCGCGGAATGAATTCATCTAATCCCTTCTGGCGTAGTACGCACAAATCTGATAAAATGGAACAAAATACAGGAATGGTGTCATTGTTTATATGGAAGTGAAAAGTAACCGGACTAGTCAGTTGCACGGTAGTCTCTGAGTAACTCTCAAAGTTTCCTAGTACAGATTATAGGTTAGAATTGAATAATCATTCACTGCAAAGAGATTCAGTTCAGGTGAGTGACTGCTGTACCAAGATCTCGATGGAAGAGTAAAGTTCACTCCAATGTCTTACTTGGAGTGGATGCCTGGTGCTTGATGACTTAGCTTTTGGCCCGCTGAATGTCAGGTTAGGGTTAGCTAGCAATGCAGGAATTCTTTTTGGCGGGTGCTCATCTCGCGCCTTCAGATTTCGATGAATACTTTCAATGCAGAAAGAAGAAAAAAGCCAAAACCACAGACCCTAAGAGACTTGTTTTCCAGAAGGTTCCCTACGCTAGTGATCGTGCCCTAGCAAGGTGTATTTCTGGATGTTCGTTAGGATGACGAGACGAATCTATGGAAGAAAACCAAGGCTAACAAATACTGTGCAGCCAAGGCTTCGTAATGTCTTAACACACATAAACAGCCACAATTTATTGAGTCAAAAACTTTTTATCACATTCCCCGAAACACGGCAAATAGATCTTTCTTCAAAGGCAACAACCTAATGAACAAAGGAAATAAGCTTAACGATTGGGCGACCACGCCGTCGTCTTTGAACAAGATCGATTTCTGAACGAAAGTATCATCAAAAACCATTGCATATATCAGCGAGAAATTCCATGTTTTACTCACTGGTTTGTTTTGTTATTACTGATAAAACCTCTCATACTAAGTACTCCACCTCAGCATCCGTTCGCTAAAAGTACAGCTTAAAAAGAGCAACGGCGTTAAGGTGCTCCCCAGCTTTTATCGGTTGGCAACATACAACAGAATACAGCTAAAGGTTTTAAGTGTCACTACAAAACTTTCCTGAGCTGTATATATCGACTGGTCAAACGGTTGAGGTTGGAAATGGCCTTAGAATATAATGCCAATTTAATGACTACCTGGTGCTCACTAGATCTGGGTTTTCATATCAAATTGCTTTGCTCTTACACGACTGCGTAGGACGGCTAAAAGGGATTTCAACCAAGATAAATACTGGAAACGAGATGTCATCTTGGATATGTTATTCTGTTCTGGGTGGCTAAGCTCGGTGCACATCCCGACTTGATGTGGCTCCGTGTGTGCGGCATGTGCGCCGTGTGTGCGGATACAGCAACGTGTGTTCGGATGCCTTACAAGTGCTCTGGATTTGCCCAAAAATACCTTTCAGCGTAGGGTACACCAATCGAGCAAGGATAAGCAACACCATTTTCCGTCACTCAACATAGCTCGCAACCATAAGCCTTAGTTGGTAGGCAACCGACCTCTGATATCGCTTACCCAATGCACAGACCTCTTGTGGATTTTTCAGATATGCCGAAAACATACAAGTGTTGTTCAGGCAGATTATGGTCTGTTCGGATTTCATCGCACTGGTGCCTGAGTATGCTTTGGCAACGTTTTTATGAGTAACCTTTTCAGAGGTGAATTACTGTTGATAAAAACAAAACGAAAATATGTTACGAATTTGATTGTTACTTTCGGCCGTTCGGAGATGCAGTAGGATGAAGCAACCAGGTGCTTCTTCAAATACTAAACCATCCGGTTACGAGCGCCTGATCATCGGTGTGATTAACTCACACCTAGACGGATAAGGCACCACTCATCCCTCAGTCATGGAATCCACATCACGTGGTCACGTGTTGGCTGAGTCCTTGACTGACGACTTGTCGGAAGTAAGGTTAACTCGTGGTGTGAATTATTCATCCTTCTGTTGATGTCTTCTGTTACTCTTTGTTTGGAGTCAATAGTAGTGTCCTCGAGAGATAATCGAACGCGTAACCTGCCGGATAAGGTCGAACCCGGATTCTATTAGCCGAACGTTTTGGTACAGGAAAACGGCAAGTTCTCTAATCAGAAACAAAAATGTCCCAATAGCTACGGGGGCTTTTCCGAGATATTTCTAGCTAACATCTGATCAGGTGACCTGAACTACATCATTAGAGAACGGCTAGTTCCACATCCTCCGAACGGGTAAGCGGTTCACATTGCTACTCAGCCATCAGTAGCCAAATCACTTGGTGTTCGATAAATCACGGGACTGTGGGCTTCAAACTCTCTAAGTGTATGTAAAATGCCAACCGCTGATAATAACTTCTCACCATGGCTAGGCTGCCTTACTCTGTGAACCCCAGATATAAGTATTCGAAAACTCCGTACGACTTACAATAGCCCAGAGCATAACCTCTTTTCCGATTTTGCTAACATGAATGCCCAATCATAAGATCAAACTGGAGACAAAGGTGGACGGTAACCAGATTTACCTGTAGCAATTGTTGTGAAATTTATTGTAACTGGACAAAGCAAGCAGAACGCCGAATCCAGGACCCAGTGAGAAAAATATCTGTGAAGCCGCTTCACTCCATACCTACAGTGGAGGGAACAAAATGGAAGGAAGATCTCTTTTCCTCTTGACCTTTTGAGAACACGAATAAATTCTTTCGAATCGAACAGCAGTGGTATTTAGAAGGGCCTTTGACAAGATGATCAGAGCTGCTCATTTCTTTAGAGTCTCAAACACAAGCGTAAAATGAAGGAAGAAATCGTTAAAGCAGGAAAAGGACGGTTAGACAAATCAAGAGTATTTGTGTACACATGGACGACCGGCAGCCTTACAGCGACAGCCACCGAGCAAGTTTCACCAAGCTTGATATGACTGCTGATTTCCCTAGTAGTAAGAGCCACTCAACCAGTATTTACAAATATGCCGAATGACGTTAGCCATCTGATGGTAATTTACGTCGTTCGGCGTGAGAACTCTGAATTTCAATATTTCTCGAGATAGGCTCAGAACGATTCCATCATTTCTCTACTTCCGCTGGTTGTTAGTACCGGTCCAGACCTGTTAAAATTGATTAAAGAGGACAAAGTTTGACCAAGCGACTTCCGTAAATGGGAACCCATAAAGCGATTCCGTTGTACACATCGTACCAAATGAAATACACAAAACCGAAACACTGGAATTTGTGATGTAAGTTGAGAAATTGAAACAGCAACCTAGAAAGTTTGGAGTACCATTGGCCGATCATATTTTTCATTGGGCGTTCGAATGTGATGTACCAATGCTACCGGTTGACTCGGGACAGAGCAGTGTGATATGCATATAACAGCGGTAGCTACCCACGAACTACATCGGGTGAGACCGATAAATGTTTCGCGATTCTTCTCGTCTCTCCAGAGAAGCAATGTCCATGTGATTACCGGTATCTTTCAATCAACCCCATTTCGGCAGTCCCATTTTGAGGGACATTAATTTTCGACGGAGCCGAGTTTTTCGGTTTTAGCATCCATAATTTGCTAAGAAGTCACAATGCCCCACGTGCGTCATCAAGTACAGGTTCAGATTTCTCCGTCCAATGACTCGTCTTCTGGAGGTAACGGACCATAACATTTAGGAATTGGGAATGAACGGCCGCTGCTCCAACACAGCTTGTTTACTCCGAAAATGTACCGACCGTCAGTTATCCCAGTGACTTTGTGGATACGAACCATTCTGAGTCATTGAGAATTGGTAAGTTACTTGATCAGGTGCAGTAATATCTAAGATCGGTGTTGACGCATTTGGGCTAATAGTTTAGTTTAGTTAAAGTTAAGTCATGAGGAGAGGTGTCGGATTTCTTGAGGGGGGATAAGGGAGTAAGTAGCTTAAATTTAATGACGCAGTTTTAATATACCAAAAAGACGAAAAGCATTATCAGGTCTTATAGATTTTATTGTTTGCATTTTTGGCTCATTATATTTATTTTCTTTAAAAAACGGAAGATCCAGAATGTGTGAGACAAAAGTGGATACCTCTGATTAGGCAACAAGACTGGACGATTTTCCCTTCTTGAAAAAGAACTCACCTGAACCTTCAAAAGCTGGTCAAACTTTGGCGTGAGGTAGTACTTGATTCCAGTCAGTGATCCTTCTAAAGTAAGTCCGCGAACAAGCAGTATGCTTAAGATGACATAGGGTAGTGTTGCTGTTATCCAGACTGCCTGAAATTTGAGGGAAATAAGTATGAAAATAGAAATTACTGCAGCTCCTGCGACATCTCGACAAACTTGTTTGATAACCTTCTAACTGACCTTACTTGTAATTTATTCTTACTGGAGTCGGGAGAGTATAACGCGACAAAAGCAACAGGACATAGTGTATGAAGTAGCATTCTATCTCAGGTTTCCGTACAAACCTCATCCTTTAATTACAGCTTTCTTATTAATACCATTGTGACAGACGGCTATCGACGTCATTCAGAAACTAGGTATCAGAGTGAATACGGTCGTAGTGAATTTCACCAACGACAATACTGTAACAGTTTCAGCACGTGGACCATCATATCCAACGGCCCTGTTTGACAATATTAACAGGAAACATGTGATAAGATTTGTAAAGTATTGGAAGTACTCAAGCAGGATTGTACCACGATCCAAAGGCTAGAGGATGCTGCATCTATAGGGAACGTCTCTATATTATAATGAGTTATGAAAATGGAGCTCAGATTGTGGGTCTCCTACAACACTAAAAACAGTCAATTTCTTCTATATGAACAGCTAGAACCTCATTTTCGTTGAAGAATATAAGGAAAAACAGTGCGTCAGTAGTGGCTATCGGCCTCTTGTCGCGAAAGGGAAATTGGGTTCAAAGGAACAGACCATTCTTCCAAGTGCCCATGCAAGAAGAAACCAGTTAATTGACAAAATACGCACTAGCTGGTTAGCAGTCGGAATACTTATCATGTCCACAAATCAGATGCTTGCTTATCGTTTGTCTTCTGCTCTATTTTTATCCAAGCATGTTTTATAGGCTACTGAACCTTTCGCCAGCTCCCTTCAGTGCGATACGATATAATATGTTCGATCAACGAAAAAAGTCTGTCATTGTTAATAACTACCATGAGATTGGGAGCCCTTTTCCTACTAAGGAATGATTGAGGTATACAGCATACCTAAAATCGTATTTGCTCAAATTTTGGAATGTGTTCAACCTATAATTACGTTGTTTCTGCAACTCACATTTTCCTTACGTTCTCTCCAGTAGAGAGATTACTCTAAAAAGACTAGGCTTGAATATTTGTCCAGTTCTTGTTATCTAACGTCTAGCATGTAATGCCCCCATGGATAAGTCGCACATTTTATCACCTGTTGGATACCGGCGGACCGGTACGCAAAGTCTTCTGTGTGTGCTGTTCACAACACAATCCGTCTGAGTAAACTCTTTAACCCTCTTTTTCAATTTACCAGCCTCCAAAGGTAGATCACTTATCAAAATAAGTCACTTTTGATCAACCTCATAGAGTGATCTCTCAACAGAATAACAACTTTACTCTGGAGGGGACAATAACAGTCCCAACAGGCGATATGCGAAAGTCTACAAATGGACAGCTTAGAAAAAAATATGGAGACAAGCAAGAGCTAACTGACCGCAAATGTCCGGCGCCAATTCGAACGCAAAAGCAGAACAATATTGAGGCAGCGGAAACTTCTGACAAACTGACGCTCACCTTTCCACTACTTTTGACACCTTTCCACAGAGAAAAGTAGACTATGGTGAAGATGGCCATCAAACAAAGAGAGATTTCCCATCTGATTGGACCAATATTGCTGTAGCCAGTGGAATACTGCAGCTGAAGTACACGTCGGCTAGAAGTGCAATTAGGATGAGAACATGAAAGCGTAATTAATGTAAAAAAAAGCACTGGTTGAGTCCTATACAAAAACCAAGGATGACTGCCGAGCAAAACTGCTAACCCATACTGGAATTTACCCCAATTAATTGAAGAGTAGGATTGGCAACACAGTGTTTGATGAGCCGTTGGATTTTGGTTTGCAACTACATGAGAGTAACACTTTTGCCATTCAGTTTCCATGCGGAAACGGGGAGTTCAGACGACCTTTATTTCGAAATAATTTCAAAGGAGGGGAGTGCAGTAATTCACCTCACCCCGAAAAAACACCCATCGAAGAAACCATATTTGGGGCGGGAACTATCTTCCTTTCTAGCTTTTGATGTGTTGAAAAAGCTTTCAATTACGATTAAAATTTAGTTAAAAGCTGTGATTTGAGCAACACCGCTGCTACTCAAGAGACGTTTAATCATTGCACCATCAGTCACCAGGCCGGGTTTTCCAGACCCACTGAGATCGCACATTAATTCTTTTATCCCCAATTAGCTCTGGGAATCCCGAACTGGTAGCTCTAAACACGTAATTATCAACTAATTTCCTGAACAACTAATGTTTAAGCTACTAAAAATAACTAAAACATCACAGTTTTTTTCGAAGAATAATGATGCTAGAAGATCACTCAGTTGTTTTTTCAAGACGTTACATGCGTAGAACATATGAACTTCGAAACACAGAGCGCTGTCGCAGGCCGCATAAGAGATGTAGAATACCAGACACAAAGCCAATAGCTATGACCTTCATACCTCTGAAAAATGAACCAAGCTCTTCCCATAGCCATAGTGTACTTTGTTCCTGCATCTTAACAGCCACTAAAAGTACACTTGTAATTGTTAGCTACATTTAAGGAACCGAGGAAAATCCTAGGCCGTACAGCCTGGGATGACAGGACGACTGGACTGCGCGCTGTGTTTGCGACCCTACAGACTGCATCTGCTTGATTGGCTGCTAGTTTCTGTCCTTCACGCTATCAGCTTTTTTATCCGATCCTCTGTCATGCACCTTTGCTTCAGATCCCAACCCCGCACAATACATGTCCGGCGTACGTCGTCGTGTGTGATCCAGACGGGCTGGTCTAAGCAGGCAAAGGAAGCACGACTGCGAAGTATTCGTCAACTGCTGCAGTAATTGGGGTCCATAATTTTCATTGTGCTAATCATGTCAACGGAATACTTGAATTTCGTCCATGAGCAACAGCTGAAACGCATGCAGTGTTTCGCATATCGTTTTTCAATCGCGATGACACCACAGACTCGAATTGGTCCCGGCGACCTGCAGCAGCATCACGGAGTTTGCTTCCAACTCCCCAGCTAAGGTAAGATTCAGTTCTTGGTTTCGAAATTTTACCAAGCGTCAGTCTTTCAGCTCAGGGTGATGGCTGGAATACTCAGCCAACTTCCGTAAACTGGGCCAAGTGGAGCACGGGTGGAAACTTAATGCGAATATCCTTTCAAGAATACCGTCATCATGCTAAAGCAAAAAGTTGGTGAGCAGATGTTTTCGTTTTTCTGACCACTGATCGCCAGCTGATATTCAGTGTTGTCTAGGCTGGTGTAATTTTTAACAAATTCGAGGAACGAGTGTGGATTAACTAAAACCTAAAACCGAAGACATAAAACTCGATGGTTCTAGCTATCCTATGGTACGGTCTTGATGCGGTCTTGATCATATGCTGGCACAGCATAGAGTGGCATCTATTTGCACTGCCTGAGGTGAATACTTAGTTGGAGCAAATGGGTGCAGGACGCAGAGATTCTCCTACGGATGAACTGCAACTGGCCATGGTCATATTCAGCCGTCCACGGTGTTTTCTGAACTATGGGGAATACGGTTACGTAGCAGCTGAAGGATCCATTGAATGTAAAGAAAGGGAAATCTGAAAGCTCTGACGTAGATGTGGTGAAATAGAAACGAAGAGCAAAGCAGGACTACAAGGAGAGATCGGTACGAAGCGGGTGCCAGATTCTAATCAGCGATCTCCATTTTCGACTCAAGGGAATCGTCGGAGCTGTGGGGCCCAGACCTAGAAAAACCTGGATCTTCGGCAGCTGTACCGTCTTCGCATTTGACTACAACCACCGGACACTGTGAGCTGTCGGCCAAACGTCGCCGAATAAAATAGAGTTGGTAGTGCGATCATAGGTTTCCTAGATTAGCAGATAATTAATAATTCTACAAGGGCTTTAAAACTGACTTTCCATGATCAACGTCACATAGAACAAAACCAACAGAAATGTCTTAGCACACTGAATATTGAAGTATACTTCAACTGCGTTGGTGCTAGAGGTGATTCTCAATCACCATCGTCGTACAGACAATCGATTCATACTACGGCTAGCTGTAGGACTCCATGCGGGTGTATTCTGTGCTCGGCTTATCATTAGTTTGTCTCCAGCAGCGGTCATTGTTGGAATCAAATGCTAGACTGTATTAGTGCACAGGTGGTGATAGCCATAATACCAATCAGAAGGTGTATGTGCACTAATAGAAGTTTTTAGTGTGGTGGACAGTGGAGGGTTGCAACGCGTAAAAAAATAAATACAATGCGAAATGGGAGAGAGTCAAAAGGGAACTTATCGTATGTGAGAGTCTCTTGGTAAAAGTCCGGACGGTGGAAACGTGTTTTCTTCGCAGTATGGCTGCTACACGTGTTCCATGATTGTCCGTGGACTCGGAGTGCTTGGCTGACTCCTTGCTCCCTGCGCGCGCGCGAGTCTGTGTGTCCTGTCTGGGTTCGGTTTCCCTTTATGTAGGTCCCAGGGCGTATACGTGGGCTCGTCGGCACATGAGTGGTTGCTACGCTGACTGGGCGGTGCAGACAATCGATGTCCGATGAGTCAGCTTAATGCGACGTGTTTGTGCGTATGAGAAAAAAGACAAGCCTTGCGATCCAGTGAGCGACTGAGTTGAACAGTCAAGTATATGGGTGACGGGGTCGCTACAACGGTTCCCATTTTTGTCTGCAATACTCAGCTTGGAAACTGTGACATTCCGGATCGCCATGCCCAGACCTGTGCAAGCAATGGCTCTGTGACTACCGTTGCCCGGGTGAAGATGAACTATGGCTAAGGTTAACCAGCCATGGGTGTGCCTTGGGTGCGTCTTATACAGAGCGAGGACAGCCAGATATTCTTTACCCCACACCAGATGTAAACCATTCACTGATCCCAACCAATATGAACTCCCAATTGGGCATGCTGACGGCTTTAGAACTTTTTCCTCCTAGTAAACTTTCGGTCTCATTCTCCGGTGTTTATACCGAATACGAGGTATTCAGTTGGTTGCACAAACAGCTAAGCGCAGACCACATCTAATATTACTTGCTGAGCGGCGTGATTCATTGGTACATTTCGGTATTATAGGCGAATTCGGGAAGGAATGTCAGCCCACCATTTCGAACAAAGCGCACTAGCATTATAGTGGCCCTACACAACCATCTCGCCAAATCCGAAACTAAAGGTTTTATCTAATATTAAGATGTAAAAGAGCACAAATAAATACAAGATGTTCACCTTGTATTTATTTGTTAGTGCAATAAGCTGATATCAGCCGTTAGTAATTTTTAATGTAGATTGTGTCCTGTAAGTGAAGCTTGTCGTTGCTGAAAAGCCATTAAACACTGTAGGGCCGTTTCATTGTTATTAAGAATCATCAGAACTGCGTATCTCACAAAAATCTGGAATATTAGACCCGCATCTCCCCTCCTGATACTGTGAACGCTAACCTTCCAGAAGATTGGGTTCGAAACTTGTTAAACTTCCTTCAAATGCCCACTGCTGATGACTCCCGTTAAGGATGAAGCAGCTGTACAATATGTCATGGCTTTTCACACACAGGACAAAATCCCCATTAAAAATGACTAGATCTTTTCACATTGCAAAGTTCCCATTTTTGTCTGCAATACTCAGCTTGGAAACTGTGACATTCCGGATCGCCATGCCCAGACCTGTGCAAGCAATGGCTCTGTGACTACCGTTGCCCGGGTGAAGATGAACTATGGCTAAGGTTAACCAGCCATGGGTGTGCCTTGGGTGCGTCTTATACAGAGCGAGGACAGCCAGATATTCTTTACCCCACACCAGATGTAAACCATTCACTGATCCCAACCAATATGAACTCCCAATTGGGCATGCTGACGGCTTTAGAACTTTTTCCTCCTAGTAAACTTTCGGTCTCATTCTCCGGTGTTTATACCGAATACGAGGTATTCAGTTGGTTGCACAAACAGCTAAGCGCAGACCACATCTAATATTACTTGCTGAGCGGCGTGATTCATTGGTACATTTCGGTATTATAGGCGAATTCGGGAAGGAATGTCAGCCCACCATTTCGAACAAAGCGCACTAGCATTATAGTGGCCCTACACAACCATCTCGCCAAATCCGAAACTAAAGGTTTTATCTAATATTAAGATGTAAAAGAGCACAAATAAATACAAGATGTTCACCTTGTATTTATTTGTTAGTGCAATAAGCTGATATCAGCCGTTAGTAATTTTTAATGTAGATTGTGTCCTGTAAGTGAAGCTTGTCGTTGCTGAAAAGCCATTAAACACTGTAGGGCCGTTTCATTGTTATTAAGAATCATCAGAACTGCGTATCTCACAAAAATCTGGAATATTAGACCCGCATCTCCCCTCCTGATACTGTGAACGCTAACCTTCCAGAAGATTGGGTTCGAAACTTGTTAAACTTCCTTCAAATGCCCACTGCTGATGACTCCCGTTAAGGATGAAGCAGCTGTACAATATGTCATGGCTTTTCACACACAGGACAAAATCCCCATTAAAAATGACTAGATCTTTTCACATTGCAAAGAAATTGATAATTTGGAGTGTTCTTAGAGAAACCCTCAGTCGTAAAACTCCTACGAACATAAGTCAATCAAAACCATTTCCTTTTGTGCCTAATTTTGTAAGACTGTTACATTTCGTTCATTCAAAACGGATACGTGAACCAAGATTCCATATTCCAGTTGATCATAGTCTGTTTCGTACTCTCACACCTCCGCAGTCCAATAACACCATCAACATCCATGATCAGATTCTCTAGTTACGGTATATTAACAAAATCGCGAGCACAACAACTACCTAGTTAGGGAGTGTCAGGGCGCGCCCAGAAGAAAAGGCACATGTGCAGGGAGTGACGCATCCCCAAGGTCAGCATCGGTTCGACATGTCCGGAAAGTAGTTGAGTTGGCGGCTCTCACCAAACGGCTTAGCAACATACGACCAGCCTGGTGGGCCTGAGACTGTTCACGACCGGAACCCCACCAGTGGATGTACGGAACGGACAAGTGAACGACCATATATGGCCAATTAGTCATCCTATGTATTCACGCAGACGCTCTGCATGTTTTGTCCTGGCAATACAGCCGTGTCGCGAGTTCTCTGCTTTCTCCCTATCGCGTAGTCTGGCAGGCTCAGTGCCACCCACGATACAACGGGGAGGTTGGATCTTTTACTGCGCTGGCATTGTCACATACCTTAACGTATACGCTGATCTCAGTACCGGCCTCAAACTCTGCGACAGATCGATCAGAGGCCAGTTGCGTTCGCAATTCTGTTGGCGCAGTACGTCAATGTGCTTTTAGCGTTGGCCATATGTACATCTGCATTTATGAACTCCCGAAATTCTTCTCGGCTAATGTCGAGCTCATGAGCAGCTGAATGCTCAACATGAAGTGTTCACCACAAACGCGCCAGACGCATACATGGTTATTGTCGTAAACATCAGTCCCACTATCCCCTGAAGTCTTTGCACGCGTTCCATCCGGATGTGAGGGAGCCCGCAGATCATTTGGGCTGTGTAATAACAAATGCGTTGTGGTTGCTGAGGCGAGCTCTGCTGCGAACCAGCAACCAGGTTGTTTCTTGGTTGAACAAGTTGTATTCTCGAAAATGCTGGAATATCTAACTGGGCATGCAAAATTGGCCAATAGGTTCGACTATGTTCAGTTTGGAAGAGGCACCAAACTTGACAACTGAATGGAAGCAGATGATTTTATTAGCCTCATCCGCTCAGGCAACCGAACCCTTCTTCACAACCTGTATTTTGTTCCCTCTGAGCTGAGTACGGACCACCGAGGCGTCTGCTCGGCGATCCAACAACTTGAACAATCATTTATGTAATAGATGAAGATGCACCGACTGACTATAAACGTTCAAAAAGTAAAGAAGAATATAGTAATATTAGAAGTGAGAAATTGAGGTGCCAAGTCCATTTTTACTTTCCAGTACTCTTTGGGTGTCTGGACGAAATCAGCGTCTGGTCCATTGTGGAAGTCACACAGGCGACTCACCACTAGCGGTGGCAGATATTAGCTACTAATCCAGTAGGCAGAGTTTCGCAAATCATCTGTGAACTTTGGGTGCATAAATGTGATGTAGATTAGGTACAGTTTGCAGCTTCCTGAGTACACAGTCGATGAACGATATATCTGCGATTCCAATCCGTCCCAATGGTGTCCTTTCATTCATGCAACAGCGTCTTGGTCTATTCATTTGGAAATGATGAGCGATCGGCATCTTCGATGATCCCCAACTGGTAGACGATTCGTTGGCTTCGCTGCGAAATGTCAAACCCGAGGAGGATAGTAATAAATCTGATTTTGGTGTTAAGGGAGATTCATCAAAATATCCACTTTCAGCTTTATGTTGCAACAGGATGACTGCCCTCTCAATGTACCCTATTCAAATAGAAATGTGCACAGCCCGCATGTGGAATGAGTAAACTCTTCATTTACTTTCACACAGCATGGCGAATTTTCTTGAATTACGTGAGTTTATTTTGTAGGGGGACATTGGATATCCTTACATTCGTTGTCAAGCTTGATGCAGGACTATGTAATGTGTTTCATAGGCTGATGGGAAAGCACCATGCGTCTAGCTCAGTGAGTTACCGTTACGTTACGAGTATTCGTTGAAAATAAAGTGGGTTAATCTGCAAAGTAGGATCAAATAGTCAGTTGTGTATGATTTTCCTTTTTTGGTCAGTAAGTTGTGTGATCAGTATTGGCGGTTTTCAATTAACCGACGTGCCAGTATTGGATCAGCAAATTTGTTTTACGAGCAGATTCTGTCTCAGTGGCTTGAGTCTAATAATCACACCGTCGTTCAATGGATTAATCCAAGGTCAAACGTCAACACCTGCCCTTGAACATGCTCAATTACTCGTAGTCTATTTGATAGTCACTAAAATGTCAGGTTTTCCCCTCTCGGTATCATTACCCTGATAATCAATATCATCTTTTAGTTAAACACGTCACCAACTGGAAACTTTCCGTTTGGAATTTTTATGATTCAAATTTTCTGGTAATTTGTCAGGAACGCTTAGCTAACATCCAGCTCTGTCACTTCTATCGAGACTTTAGTGAGTCTCGCTTGAAGAGGTGTACAAACCGCTCACCTTGTCCGTCATATTGTGCGTTTTATGGTGTTGATCGAAGATGTCTCATGGTACCGAGCGCACAGAAGTTGCCGAGTGAGGCAGGGGTAGACTGTTTATTATTTTGCACCTGTATAATATACGACAACCCGAAACAACGGGGTAATGTCCGTAACTTTCCAGTAGGCAGTCATCGTGGTAGTCACTTTTGACATGAGGTACATCCGTGGTGTGTGTGGGGTAGATTATTCATCAAAATGGTCTGGCAAAGTTAAGATGAATTCGGTGCTATCGTCCTCGAGAATTTCCACAGTTGAGGATTCTTTACGGCTTGGATTCAATCACAGCATCCGCCAGTTCCTTCAATCAACCGTCAAAAAAGGCTGGTAGATATAGCTATGCGTCGTGACTACCTTTTTGCGCTATTCATGGGATATTCTTTCTAGCACTGCCTGATCACATGCCCAAGAAGAGACATTTGGGCGCCTGCTGATACGAACGATCTTGCGTGGTCTACGTCTGGTCGCCGTCGTCTAGCTGACCTGGCGGGCCTGTCACACCAAATAGATTTCAATGAATGAAGTGACAAAAATGTCGCTGATCAGGTTCAGCAAAGGCATCGCAATTATACAGTCTGAAACTGTAGTGCCGAGCCAGAAAAATTATTCGAATTGATGTAGTCATCTAATTATTTTTCACGATGGGCACAGATACGTTCCGTCTTCACATATTCATGTAATGGCGTGGGCCACGGAAACAATAGTCCAAGTTGATAGCGTCAAAATGACAGTACTTGATCGCGAAAGATCCCCGTCACGAACCAACCAGTGTGTTTCAAATAACGTTAAAACTTAAAAGTCACACACGATGAAAGCTTACAAGTGAACCGGGTTGAAATTCAACAGTCGCGTGCCAACATCAGATGAATCGAAACTCAAAACATTGACGGGGTCAATCAGGCAATTACCCAACAGCGCACCAGGAGTGGTAGATGGCTCAACTCCTTGTCAATGAAACTGCAAGTTCTTGTTCTCACATTTTCTTGGAAATCAGCTTCGGTTTTTTGTAGGAATCTATTTGTTCATATATCTATTACTCCGTCCTTCTCTTTCCTAGACTGGGGGAGAAGAATCTCGAAAACGTTGTTTTTTTGCAGTGGAATCTGAAGTCCTGGTCTGAAGTTAGGTTCGGAGAATGGGATTCAGTTGGATGCCCGTATATTCACACCATCATCACACTATGGCCGGTTGGAAATTTCGGTGAAAATGAACCGCGACACCAGTGCATTTAATAAACTGATAAATTCAGTAACATAGCTTCTAGGGTCTAGTGAGCTACCATAAGACATGCGTTTTTTGCGCGTTGCTGTTTAATCCAGCTTACGCTTGATGACTGATATCCACGCAGTCTATGCGTCCTCTCTCGGAATTTGATACCAGTTTGATGTCTAGTTCTCATTTCACGGCTTTGCAATTTAACCAGATACACGCATTCCGTCCAGTTAAAATGTTCTTTCTCTCATAGTCAGTATATAATGAAGTAAGCCGAAGACGAGAGTACATAGAATATTTCCCTTCATCTCGTGACTCTGTCGAAGAACGGCCACACCACAAAAGACCTCATTTACACAGTATGATCCTTCTCGAAGATATTCCATGAGGAGAATATCGGCAAATGGGGCAGTGTAAATCATCCATACTGGACGTTTCGTACGCTTGTATTCCTCGACAAAAAGTCCTGTGTGAACGTTTAGCGGCGGACGTATTTAACTCAAACATCTTTCTGATATACCTAGGTTGCTAGCATGGAGCCTGCGATGAACGACGGCTATACTAGGTGTTTAGATGAATGCACTGACTCAATGCATTTCTAAAAGTGGAAACCATACGATACTGGTAAACCAAACAAGCGTTGAAAAGCGGGTCGTATGATCGTCGGTACAGGACGTCTATAAAATAAGCCAAATCAAGTATAACTCTACGTTTCTGGTTATTGTTGAACAAACTCACTAGAAATACTCTTCGGTTGAAGAGAAATAAGTCACATTTTCCTGGACCAAAAAAGAGATATTTTCGTGGATTGTAACACCTTCCTCTTCACCTTCTGTGAGTGTATGGTTAACCAGTTTTTGGTAGACAGTCACACAGGAGTTGGTATTCCACCAATTGTTGCAGCTGTCCCAGGGCACATGGGGCTTCATTGCATCAAACATGTAGAACAATGCCCATGCCATGACTGTGTTGTAGTACCAGGCAGTGTAACTGGCAATTATGCATATACCGAATCCAATACCTGGAAGTAAAACGAAAGACACAGTTAAATTCGGCAATACTGTGGAATGATGAAACGTTTGCGATCCAACTGCCAAGCTCGGCGAACAGACCAAACAACCAAACAGTTAAATTCATTTGGATAATTCGCAGAAATCGACTCCGAGTTGGAATAGGACTGCTGCACGAAAGAAACATTTGGGCACCGGTCCGCATAATGTGAACGAACATGGTTGATGGGGTTCAAGCAATATATAAAGTTTGATGGATGCTGTGACTAGATGAAAACTTTTTATTTTATTTTTCCATGATAACCGTCATGTATTAATTGAACTTGCCAAGGTCCAACGATAAGTCACCCTAATGCTACCTGTACAGTATGTGTATCGTTTCTCTGAAAGGGTTCATTAGCACATCGTGGTCTAAAATTGGTGTCCTTCTCCTTCATATATGGGAATAAAGATTGGCTAGTGAGGTGTTTAAAAAGATTAAGTGCTTATTGGGGGTGGTAGGGTAACGGCCACTATCATGTGATGAGTTTTATCAGTAATGGGTTTGTCTGAGGCGTCCCAGGCTCTTGTATAAATTAGGGTAACCCGGTTTTTTTCGGTTATATAAAAAATGTAGACGAGGCAGAGGGAAATGGGCCCATGACTGATCAGCAGCTGTCTAGATTCAACAACCAGTTTACTGAAACAAAAGCAAATAGCCAGGTTACCACATTTGACACATTTTGTAAGGTGCTCCTCTTCTACAGCCAACCTCAAATAAAGTGGCGACTTTCCCAAAATGGCACTTCACAGGGAACCTTGCGAATGTTATGGAAACAGTCTAAGACTACTCCCAACACAATACAGGAACCATTTTGTACAATCTCTGTACAGTCTCCCTTCTAAGAGAGCATAACCACCGCATAGCCCGATCGGTTTACCGGTCTGCTTTCCTTTTTGTCACCCCCTAGCGATCGCATCCGCTGAGGATGGGCAAAAAGGTACATTGTGCAAGTAATACGACTAATCCCGAGACCTCAGTCCTGAATGAGACCAACGGCCTCCGTACAGCCTGCCAAATCTTATAAAGTTGTGAAGCGCGTTTTGATCAGAGTGTTCAGAAAAAGCTAGGAAATAGTTAAATGTAGAGCGTTTTGGCTGATATGCAGAATACGAAACCAAGGAAGACGGTAAAAAGATCTCGGGGAACTCTAATGGCAACCATCAAGCTGCTCTCAGTGAAGAACGTTTTCAAGACCAAATCAGTTCCCTAATGAATTCGCATTGATATGCTTTATCCGAACCAACTAACAGATCCTTGATCTATGGGCCTAGAAACTCCGATAGAGTCTTGAATAAAAGTATAATTTCCTGCTCTGAGCTTTAGCCCAGGCGAGATGAGAACCCATCTTTACCATAGGCGAGATTAGTTAGCTAAAACCTTTTTTGTTTTTCCTTCTTTGATAGAGATTTCTAGTTAGTTAGCTCTGCATCTGGTGGTTGGTTGTACAGTGGCACAGGGTCGAAGCCGTGAATGAGAGGAGAGTGACACCAACGCACAGATACCTCATGATAGCCCACCCAAATTACTGAATGAAAGCCACCAAAATAACCGGAAGACTTACCACTGAACATTGGGCAAATTCGTTTCCACACAGTAAGACATCCACTTCGTTGAAACTGCCCAAGTGCTAGTTCTAGGTAGAACAGAGGTAGTCCACCAAGTATGTACATCACCACGTAAGGAATGAGGAAGGCACCTGGATTTATAAAGACAGAAACAGATAATGACCATATCGGAAACGTGAAATACACATACGTTGGTAGGTTCAAGATATAAATTAGTGAGAAAAGAACCAGAAAAGGCACGTTAAGGTATTCTGAAGGTATACTGAACGCCACCTAACTGATCTTGTCAGCACTGAATTTTTGGTGCCAATCGCTGCATTTGATCTGATGACCTTGTGGTGCTTTTGTAGACCAAAAGCGTGTTCAACACTGAGCACGCTTCCGACATAGTGCGCAACTTTTAAGGTTGCTGAAAACTCCTCCAGGCCTTCTACAACTGGTTCTCTCCTAATAGGGATCTTCAAGTGGAGCAATCCTCAGGTTGGCGTCAGCAATAAATTCCATCCGAACTCCAAATTTTACGCAGCTGGAAAACTATATTAACTTTTGAGCTACACCTGTGTTAACGGGAGGCTCACCTGAATCTTCTGTTTACAATTTTCCAACTGGAAGCGTGGCACAGAGGTCAGCTCATGCTCCAGTTCGCGACATTTGAAATAACACACTATGTGTAAAGTTACTGGAAGCTATTCGATATCGCATATCACATATCACATATATCACACGTATATATCACATATACGCTGTCTTCATGATTAGTTGTACCATGACGAATAGATCGAAAATTAGCCTGTTAGACAGAAATATTCTATCTTTTTGATCTACCGCTGATAGTTTCAATACATTAATTGAGGCAGCGGTTACAGATCTAGTCAACCATCGATGATGAAACCGTCATTCGATCCACTTTATTGATTAAATCGCAGCAGATTGACCCACTTGGTGACTTTGATTGATTCCGTCTCGTTGATAAGCTTTGTTGTGGATTGCTGTAAACATTTCTCAAAAACACGTATCTTCGGAGGAACAGAACAACAAATCGAATTTTTGTTCAGAAACAGCTTCTCTCGAGTGAGTTTTTCAACGTGGTATGTCTAGCCTCCATGTACATGTATAAAAGCCGGATAGATGTAGCTGAATCGGGAGTCAGCAGACTGCCCCAGATACACACTGAAGATAAAATTATGTGACCGGCCATATTTACTACAGCGATGTCTATGTTTACAGTGGAAAAATCTTTAGACCTTGAACTGGGGGTTCTACGTTTCCATTTTTTCCGTGTCAGAATCTCCCCTTGCCGGTGAGATATCAAGCTATTCGTTCATGGTCCCTCATTGGATGACCAGCCTCTGCTCCAAAAGCTTTATTCGAAACAGTCCATAATGTTATCAAGAGTACATACAATTTTAAACTACTCCCTTGTTTTCATCTAGTTACGGGCTGAGAAATGTACAATAACAACACAACGCGACTTCGCTATGAAAGCAGCTTTGTCAAGACGGATTATGCGGAATTTCAGTACAAACTCAACAACCTACATCGACCACAATAAAGTGGTTCGAGATATACTCAACGTATTAGGCTGTTTGCTCCTTGGTATCGGAACTAATTTCTGCGATATAAACTTCACTGCACGATTAAAAGTGGTTGGTCTACTGTCACTATGTAGAAGCTGTGGTATCCGCTATCTCAAACTGGTTGATTCTGCGTCACACCTTGGAGAAGGTTCATTTCATCCTGGTAGGAGATCAGTAGTAGGTCAATTTAAAATCTGTTCTGAATCGATGACCGTGTACACTTAGTGTAATTTGCTTGTGACTGCTGCACGGAATCGTTCAACTGTTATAGTAGTATAGTCGAATGCTCCACCTATGTACTACCGAACTCTTCATGAGACTGCAGTCCGAGCAGTCGCGGAAGTAATAACGAGCAAGAAAGCTTGCCACATGATCGTTTGAGGAACAAGAATGTGAGGATGTTCTTGTTGACTGAAACTTCCGCCTTCTTCGACCAAAAAGAAATGCATTCGAAGCATATGAAAATTATTATTTTAGGGTTATTGCTGGAAATATAAGTGTAAGCTGCGGGAACATTTATCCATAAAATAAATTGTGATGTAGCTGAAGGTTAAGTTACCTGACACTTGGTGTCCTAAATCAAATAGATCAATGCGGATTCAAGTTAAGGACCACTGTTTACAAATAAATTGACACATTTGTGTATGTATAGTGTTGGCTTATCCGAACAGTAGCGGTGAGGAGTTTGAGCCTGAAAGAGACTTTGCAAAATTACATGGCTACTGACAGTGATCTACTCACATCACATTTGTTTGTGAGCATTCATTATTGAAAGGATAGCCAAATCTCTGCAGACGGGTGTTTTTTCTTCTCCAGTTCATGAGAAATCAGAAAATCTCTGGATATACAATCGTTTTTCGTTATTTCGAGACCTCAATACACTGGTTTATCGAAATTCATAAATGATGACTAGATACGAATATTTGTTTTCACGTCTGAAAATGCACTGAAAATGTCCTTTCTTGTCCGTAATGAACTGCTTCAAGCCATGACGTTACAGTGGAACTGCCCACCATACTTTTTTGTTGTTTCTCTGCGGCAACTCAGAACTGCAAGTCAGGACTTGTAAGTTAGGTACAATGAGTACGGCGAGCTTTCTCGTCAATCCAGTTATTTTTCGTTCCTTCATATTTATACTAGAGTGGCTTAAGCACGATCTGTATTCGTGTTTCTCCATTTGAATTCACCGACTAAAAAATTATGTGGTGCCTCTTCTTCATGAACAATTTTCGATCTGAGCATCGAACCAGGGATGACTAATTGACCCTTTTAACGAAATCTGCTTTCGAATTAATCCTCAGTATTCCCAAATCTGGATATAAAAACTGAGTGCTGCGTGGAGGATTTGGTCCCTTTTTCGTCTTTTTTGATCGATTCAGCGGAGAGTTTGTGCATTTGTGTCCGTGTACATTACGTATATGATGTATGAATGTAACATCACCCGAGTGACTTCGACGTTCAATTTTTTCGAGACATTTAACTACCAGATAATGTTTCACACTTTTTCCTCAAGAACACATTTAAGGAAGAGACAAAATGGTAAAAAAAATTATTCGTATCGATGTGAATGGCTGTACTCACCTGCATTTCTCAGTATCCCCTAAACTTGAGACAGAAAAGTGAAACGATAAATGCGAATATCGGTCCTACAGTAGTTTGTTCTATTGGTACAGTTTTTCTTGTATCGTCTTTGGGCATAAAAGGCTACAAAAGATTCCAATCTCCCAGATGTAGGAACGGGTTTTGTTGTGAGGCTTCCGCTCGCTGAATACTTATCCTGTAAGGTTTCACTCACAAGTATACAGTTCGTACAGAACATTTTATATTGTAAAGTTTCATGTATATAGTTGGTAAATAATTTTCTTGCGTAAGTGGTATTCTTTATTACCTATGTCGGTCAATGGGTTTTGATAGAATTCCGGCCGGGATGATGGGAGATTAACGGATATCCCATAAAAGACACACAAGCCTACAAAACGTTTACGCGAAGTGCTGTCAATTGTACATTAATTTGAGCTTTACGGGACACTACTGAATTTCGGCTGAATCTCGGGTTTATGTTGTTCCTATTTGGTCTACGCCTCTTTTACTGTTTCAGAGTGGGGCTAAGTATAGAAAAGTACTGGAGGGAAATGTACTTCTATTTCCATGACTAAAAATACTGTACTATTTGATGCGATAATTGTTAAGTCATGGGATTCCAAATGTTGTGGCACCGATCGACCAAATGTTTGTGAACAGTGAATGATTCGAGAACTTTGGTGCATTGAGGACGGACGGTCTTCATCTGATGTTCACAACTGCTGCATCATAGTCTTTTTAGGCATAATCGGTCTGACCGCTAAGCGTGTCGGTCACTTAGACATTTGTTCCCAATACCCCCACTGATTCTCACTGCAGCCACATATGGGAGTCACGTACCAACCTGTCAGTCCATAAAAGCCACCAATCAGTGGCCTGCTTCAGCTCGGCGCGTGAATGCGAAGGCCGCGGTGGATGTGATGGCACCGATGCAATGCACTGGCGCAGTGGTGACTAGTCCGCTCGACCTTGCTCTCTATTGACCTGAGAGCTAGGCCGTCTGCTTAAGGACGTACCTTTGGGGCACATGACGTAGACAGGCCCATTAAATCGCGTTCTCTTCTCCACTGCTTTCGCCAGTGTGTACGTGGGTGGGCTTGTTTTTGAGCGGCCACTGATCTTACGTGACCAAGGGCTTGTGAGAATGTCGTGGCCTTCCACCACCTAAGGTGAACGTCCGAGATGGGGAGGGTAATGAGAACAGCTGGCTCGATGCAATGGAAAAAATCTACTGAGGTTCTATTGAGAAAAGTTGAAACAGCACTAGGGGACAAAGTTCTGGAATAACATTCGGCGGAAGTGAGTAAGCCTGTCGGGATTGTCTACCTGTTCAGATATTTTGCTGATATCACGATGGGATCGGCGATCTGCGAAAGGGCAAGTAATTCTGAAGGAATTCATCAGGATGTCTTCGTAACAATGTGTCCTTGAGACCCCCAGGCTCAGTGAGTACAATCCACAGTCTCACTACGTATGCATATTTCCAGTTTGTATCGTACTGCCGACCACGGGCAACATCATTGGACTCGCTTTAGAATACTTTAAGGTTCTTATCGAGATTTCTCAACGAATAAGACGTATGGATGTCGATAGCCGCAGGATCTAGTGGGACTCAACAAGACTTGGCAAGATATACTGAAACACAACCCGAGGGAGTTCAGTGAATTGGTGATACACGGACGTGGAAAGTTTCATTTTGAGATTACAGAGCACACAAATACAAACAGTCTCACAGGGACCAGCACCAATTTGCACCAAAAAGCCGTACACCATAGGTCATTCACATTCTATTTGCGGTGTACCTCATGGCACATTTACGCACATTCTACGTACAAAGAGAGTTGTTGATGAAATACACTCATTTGCAAATCAATCTGGTTTTCACGAGAGACTCGACTGAATCTCTCATTTATGATACTCTACAACTGAATGTGCTGTACACAGATCGCCTCATATTTCAGATAGTACGATAT